CAAAAAACAAAGTTGAAAAGAAGATAAAAGTGAGCACGCTGACGAGGAGGCTAAAACCCATGGGCGCTGGCGTCAGTCGCCCGTGCGTCTCTTAACGTGCCAGGGAGTGAAGTTTACTCACTGCACAGTCTCGCTGGCTTCCATCACACGGGTTTATACAATACAAGACCAAAGAAAGTCAAGTCTGAAATTTGGAAAACTTCTCAGTTGTTACTGAAAAAAATAAATGCAATGATTTATGTCTGTTATTCTGAACGTTGAGCATAGCCCAAACATTTGTGCCCTTTTTTTACTCTGCATGTCACAATGTTTGCGGGAATGGGCGGTAGAGGAACACACATGTTGCGGGAGCGGGATCAAGAAAAGAGTCCCGCGCAGGTCTCTGGTGTGTGGCCTTTATTTGATGTGATGGTAGAAAGAGGGGTAACAACAAGGATCCCCTGCTGGAATCAAACCAGGGATGCTGTGGCTATATGGTACGCGTCTTAACCACTAAGCCACCAGGCCACCCCAAATAAGAATGACTTTACAGATTGTCCACTGTTCTTAAAGTTATAGTTTCAAATTAGTGAACCAGTGCTCTGACGTTCACTGAGACTACACTTCCTCTAAAGTGAGATCTCCCAACATATTTTCGTATTTGGCTGTGAGGAAAGTAATTCTAGGTTGGTATGAAGTCTCACTATGTGAGCACTGTAACCTTTACCTTGACTACTAGAGGTCCCTTTGATGTTGAGGTCACACTAATTGGACAAACACATTTTTCCTCCAATAACTAGATTCCAGGGCTTTATGGTTGGGCTCACTGTATATATTTATTTGTATCAGTGTTTCAATGTGTGGTCATACAACTGCGAATAGTAAGCCAGAGGCGAGGTTCACCTCTTAATGAACAGAATCAGTGTGCAGCATGAAAGAGTCCGCCCGTCCTCTCTGATGTTGGGACTTTGTTGTATTATCATATACCTCTGTGGGGCTGAACTGCAACATGAATGATTGTGAGGTACCTCGTTTGCGTTTTCTCTACTGTGGGACAGAGTTTGCATTTGAACGACCGCCTTTGGCAGTTTGTCCCACGAGAGTTAGAATGTAAAGACACAATTTTTCTCTCTCTCCACTCAGCCTTAACGTCTCCTCCAGATCAATAGTATCATTTTGAACTAATGAATAGTTGTTTTCTTCTTTTCCATTAATGATGTTGGATGTTTTTTCCCATTAGACAGCAAACAAGATTTCACTTTGCTGGTCATGTGAGGGATTTTCATAGCTGCCCTTGAGATTTCTTTTTTAAATCTGTCACGAAATATAAAAGACGACTCTGAGAATTAACTTTTTGATTACTATTTTGATTGGTGTGCACATTTCTGTCACAGAGCTTTGAACCTTTGTCTTACCTTGAAGGCCCCAAAACTGTATTCTTTCAATTATCTTTTTCCATCATCTTTTTTTAGTCAATAACTGTAAAAAAAACAAAAAAACAGTGGAGGCTACACACACACACACTCACACCTCTACTCAGAGTGCAAACAGTAGTTTCAATTTACTAACACGGCCATTTCCGATGTAATGGCATTACGACGGATGACACAGACTGGTAAGCGATAAGGACAGCTGCCTACTACTACAAACTATGTTTACATTACGTTAACCTAAATGGGATAGCCTTTAGCTTTTAGCCACTGCAATCATTTTATTTTACATAGTTGGCCAGGCAACGCAACAATGCCAGCTGTTTTTCTTTTCAAAAAGTCGAGGCAGAGCTGCTGTCGCTGCAGCTGCACTTGTCCCCATCTTCTGTGTTTTGGATTCCTGGTACCTACAGTACCTAGAAAAACGAGTACCGTCATGTTTTTAGAATTTGTGAGATGTACTGAATAGATATCAGTTTTCTTTATAAACTTTAATATTATATTATATATTATGTTGCATCAATATAATGGTATATAATATAGAACTATTCTAAATCACTAAAAGCCAACAGGTGCTCTGCTGATTTACAGATAAATATTTGACTTAAATTAAACAATGAATATGATTAAATACTAACATGTTATTTATGCATTTCTTTTATTTTCTTCCTAGTTGCTAAATTAATCAGCTTATATTAAAGGTGTACAAGGATAAACAAAATAAAACAAAAACAGGCTAACAGGCATTTTAAGGGGAAATGTGAGCCGGGTGTTGATGTGTGGAGAAAGAGCTCAACCCGCAGGTCTGACTTCTCTGACAGGCGCTGTACCAGGAATGAGAGAGCCGGCTCATGCATGATGTAGGGAACGCGCAATACAGAGATTGTGCTATCGGACAATAAAAGATATCTGTGTTCCACAAGTAGCCAAAACCTGTCCCTTAAGCTGTTTGCTGGGTAATGTTGAGCTCTGTTTACTGTGTCAAATCTTTCCATTGCTGATTTTTCTGACTGCTGAGCTCCTGCAAACTCCTTTGCCAGAAAGCACATTGCATCATAACTGTATATTAATACAGTCATTTTGATATTTATTCACTTTTTCTTCTATTTTGACATGTTTGAAAGCATAATATAAAACATAGTTAATGGAAATGTTTTTAATGCGGTAAAGCTTATAAAATATGCAATAACTGAACAGCGACATGACAAATCATGCTGCACCCCGTCCTCAAGGCACCAAATCTACACAGCAGATTAGCTGACTAATCTAATGCTTTAATGCTTGAACTATTAGAGGAAATACTTTAAAAATGTTTTAAGAAGGCTTGAAAAAAGAACCTATTTCAGAAAGATACATTGTTTATATAAACATTCTCTGAAGTATTTCAGGTGTGCTGAAAATCAGTGGATGGATCAATGCTGTTTAGGTGGTGTAAAGTTACTCTGAAGCACATGTTGTGGACACCCAACACCTAGAACTAAAGTTCAAACAAACAGCTATGCGTATTGCTGTTTTGTATAGTGGAACGTCAAACTACATGAAGCGCTTCTCTTCACTGGCACCCCGCCTTCAACAGTACCTCTGTATCGACAGCACCACTGTGATTGCTGCCCAGGCTGCCAGCAAGCCTCTGAATCTTAAGAGCCGTCCAGCGTGCGAGGCCATGATCACAGCTACAGCCCTGCAGCTTTGCCTTCAACATCCACTGAATCCAGTATTACCTGATCAAGGACTGTGCTTAGTTTGTAGTCCGGGCTCTAGTCGTCTCATATTTGGACTCTGTGGTTCTAGAGGGGCTCTCAACTCCTCGAGCTGTAGCCAACATCGTGAGCAGTGAATTCTAACGCCAATTCCTGTACTTCCTCTCGAACTAAACCCTGGGAATGGCTTAATAGGCTAAGTAGGGTGCGCTTGATCTCTCCAGGACTTTCCATGGCAGCTGGTGCCTCACTTTGCTCACTAATTCTGCTCTGCCTTCCCTAAGGAGCCCTGGCCAGCACTCCTTCAGTCCTTTATTCAGCTCCATCCTGACTCGCTGGTGGATTGACCTTCCTAATCCAGTCAGGAGTGCAAACTCACTCCCTATCTTCCGATATAGACTGACAACCCCTCGCACTTTGATTTCCTCCTTTTTCTTCCTTCTTTTTTTCAGGTGATTTTGCTCTTGTTGTGTTTACCGTAGCAAAATTAGTTTGCTTCGCTCTTCATGCTTGTAATTTTGATGAAGGAATTTACTCTCACTCAACTGTTATACTCACCTTAAGCCTTAATAAAAAAGGGCTGTAAAATTTAATTGTTTTCTCTCAGTTTCTTGAAATCTAAGACCATCAAAAATAAAAAGACAGGCACTGCCATATCTCCTGTGAAGTTGCTATGGCCAACGCTTGCCAACTTACACATCCAGCGTACCTAGAGCAACAGTAATATTCATCACAAATGCACACGATAAAAGGAGAATTTATTCATGATAACAAAACTCCCTGGGTACCTGGGTCTTTTCAACTTTCTTCAACAGTTACCTTTGTCCGACTGACTGGAAGTGTACAGTGGGTATAGCAGAGCTTTCTTTTACTGAATCCCACTGCCTGCTGCTGCTGCTGCTGCTTGAAACCGAGTCAATGTCCCATTCAAACATTCAAACACTGAAGATGCCACTAATTATGAATGAAACCTCTACACGCTGGCATCGTCCACCCAAACTCAAAAGGGAATTTGGGAAAGGCTCAACATGCGGGATCAACAACACTGCCAGTCATGCTCGTTTTGACTCCCTTGTGAAATGGAAGGACATTTTCCACAACACAACTACATGAAAGTATGTTAAACAAACTTGTTGCTGTCAAAAGCTTTAATGAGCATTTGTATGTTAAAAAAATATTTGATGAAACAAAAAAAGAATCACTTCATTGTTTACTGGTATAGTGGCAATTTAAGAAAATAAATCCTCAATCAGAGTTGAGTATGTAAATTAAAATGAAATGGGCAGTGCTTAACATTTGAATCTGATGACGGTTAGTGGGTTGTTTGGTCACCCAATCTGATCAAACCGCACCCTCACAGCCCTGATGAAGCAGAATCTGACTTCAAAATCTAAATAAGCGATGCTTATAAAAAAATGTTTAGCTCATTTTGCTTATATAGTCATAAATTTTAAGGTTATAGAGCAGGGTTCTGCAAATAAGTCTGGCATCGGGGGAAATGTTCAGGCCGCCTATTGCGGACCACTGTTATAGAGCATTACTTATTTGAAACCACATTTTCAGAGGCTTTAATAGGAAGTGTGAGATTTAATATTTTTTAAGTCAATGTAGTCAGGCTTATTTTGGAAATATGTCCTGATAGTACAAATTGTATATTATTTTGTATCATATTTTGTGTAAGTTTTTGAAACTTATTTGACTATCATTTGTGCCAGTTTTTACTGATTTGTGCTCATTGTCACATTTTTTTCAAACATTCTAATGATCACTCATCATAGTGTATTCTAGATCGTTGGCTTGGAGCTCTGAAGACAACAATGTACCACTGACTCAAGGATTCATTCATTGTCATGTCTTAAACACATTCTGCCTGTGTTCTGTCATCCCACAGGGCAGAACCTATTCTGCAGCGAATAAAAGAGGACCGGACCCGGGTGGTTTCACCCTCTTTTGACAACATCAAGTACGACACCTTTGAGATCGAGGAGTACCCTCTTTCTGCTCAGGGCTTCGACTGGGAGCTGTGGTGCCGATACCTCAACCCACCAAAGTCCTGGTGGACACAACGTAACCACACGGCCCCTATCAGGTAAATACAGGAAGATCTGACAGACAAGAGGAATTCAAAATGAACCTTCTGGACAGTTTTGTTATCATGAATAAGTGAGACACCAGAAAAACAATCTACCAGTGCAGTATTAATTATTAAATATTTGACTTGAAGCATATTGAAGTAGGTTTGATAAGATCACATACTAAACTAATAATTTCACTAAAAACACTAATCCCCATGAATAATTATGTATGTAAATTCTGTAAGTGCAGTGTCACTATTCTAACCCATATAAAACCCACACATTAATATTAAGCACATTAAGTGTAACACGTAAAAAAAACTGGAGTCTCATCAGAAGCAGTGAACAGTTACACAGATTTAAAAAGCAAAGCAGGTCATTTTTGTCCCCACTATTACAGCAGAGACTGCTTAGACACACTGCAGAGGCTACGAAAGAAAAACAGCCTTGCAACAAGAGCAAAATTGTCTCCTCACCAATATCTGCAGGAGGATAATACATCTGTTGTTAAGGTTCATAGCAAGCAAATCAATGATGCAGTGTTTATAGATTTGGACAAAGACAAGTTGGTGTATCCTGCTCAATATTGTAATGGAGGAAGATGAATTCCCACAATTATTTATTTCTCTATCTTCTTAAGTAGTTTTTCTCTAGTTCAGGTTGTCACTGGCTTTGCTCACAAGGCCCGTTATAGAGTACTGTAAAAAAAAAAATGTATCACTTTCAAGGCAGTTTTTACAAAGAAATTATTAAAGTAGATATGTATTTTATTTCATTTGACTTTTTCTGGTTAATTGAGAAAACAACCACTAAAGTATAATATCAATTGAGATGAGCCCGGCATTATTAGCTATTTATCTGGCCCTGTCTTTTAGAGGGCCCATGTGTCAAAATCTAGTTTTAATAATATAATTTGTTCTCATATTAAAAGAAAAAATGTGAACAGATGCCCTGGTAGTAATATTTTGAACATAGGAGTACTCTGGTCCATAGGCAAATACTTATTCTGCCATGTGTAGTCGGATGTGTGCACTGAGAGCATAAAAACTTGTAAGACAACATGATCATTTGTAAATGAAAGTGAGAAGACAATTTTATATTTTACAGTCTAAAGCCCTGTTTTGCCAGAATATAACTTTACTATGCACCTAGCTAATTTAACTAATCCTTTCAGACGGTATTTTAACCATATCGAAAGTACAGGACGTGGTCTGTAATAGACATGGACATTTCACAGGACAAAGCCAAAAAAAGAAAGCCAAAAACAGGAGGCGTAGAGGAAGAGACGTAAAGGGTGTTATATTATCATATTTATATGGCACATGTACTGTTTTACTGTTTTGGTGCAAATGAAAGTGACAACAGGTGAGAGGCAACAGCAAGACAAAAAAGATTTTGCAGGTGATAGCCACAGCTCTCTTCCTATAATTCCTGACTGACTGCGGGCTACTGGTGACCAAACTGTCAGCAACAGACTCCATGAGGGTGGCGTGAGGGCTCGACGTCCTCTAGTGGGATCTGTGCATACAGTCCAGCACCATGCAGCTCGATTGGCATTCGCCAGAAGACACCAGAATTGGCAAAACCACCATTACCTCCCCGTTCTCTTCCCAAATGAGAGCAGGTTCACACTGAGCACATTTGACAGACGTGAAAGAGTCTGGAAGTGCCGTGGTGAACGCTATGCTGCCTGCAACATCATCTAGCATGACCAGTTTGGTGAAGGGTCAGTGATGGTCTGGGGAGATATATCCCTGGACTGTTGGGTACCACTGGCCTCATGTGGCAGGCAGCTCCTGGATGATGAATTGAACATTGATGCTGCTGACTTGCCCTCATGTTCCCCAGACCTGCATCCATTGTTATGTTGTTAGGTCATTTTGTTATCATTGAATTATACAATGGACAGTAAAGATTTTTAAACTTCGAACTATTTTGTTCATAAAGATTTTTTTAAGCAGTGTATTTCCACGGACACAAAAATAACTTTAGAGATGTAATTTCTTGCTGGATAACAATAATGTTTAATTTTCTAGTTAGATGCAAACTATTTAAAACATTACTAAACCTTAGCTTAGCTTTTTATCTCATGTATTATTAAAATTATATTGTTGAGATATAATATTTAACTATTCGATTTGTTGTGATGTCATTGTGCGTACAGCACAGACTGGTGGCTGGAGAGAAAAGCGTATGCTCAGAGCCGGTACGGGGAGGGCCTTGTTTCTATTAGCATTTTGGGTTTCAGAGTTTCTGTCTGTTTGCCAATCTGTGTATCCACAGGGAAGAGAAATTCACCCAAACAAGCTGGTTTTGCAGCGGTGCTGTATTTCATATTGATAAGAGGAGATGTGTGGGACTGACAGCATGAATATTAATAGGAGTTATTTTTCACTCCTGTTGATTCAGTTTGATGTTGATGAAAGATCTGTTTGCTTTTTTCCCTCGATTTCCTCAAAATGTCCTGAATTTGTTGTGGTAGGCGAAGGCATCATTTTGACAGTTGAATCATTTGTAAGTATAATGGATAGCATAGGTTTATCATGAAAGGCTAAGGCCTATGTTTAGAGCATCAAATCTGCAACATATTTAAAAAATGGACCTTCACCTACACCGGGCACCTCGGTGAAGGACGTGTGAAGGAAATTTAAACCACCTGATGCATTTTTCTCAATGCTAAACATGTTTTACAGCTTTCTTTTCTCTCACCTCCTCTCTTCCCTCACTTCACCCTCTGTTTTAGGAGCCCCGCTTTGATTGGCTGCTTTGTGGTCGACAGGAAGTACTTTGAGGAGATTGGCCTGTTAGATGAAGGCATGGAAATTTACGGTGGAGAAAATGTGGAGCTCGGCATCAGGGTGAGTTGGCTTGAGAACCTGTATCTTATTAGCTGCACAGCCATGGAAACCACGTGCCAACTCTGTCCATTTCTCACTCAGTATGCAGCCCTATACCAGAGGTTGGTTGTTGGTCATTTTGACAGACAGGGTCGTAAATATCCCGTCATCATCTATTAAATACCTGTCATTTCAATTTTTTTATGATAATGCGACAGGGTTTTTCCTGCATAGAGAATTATTCCATTTCCGTATTTTATTTCATCCTGCCTCCAGCTCAGCCTACAGGTGTTTTCTAGCAATTGTGGCACTTCTGTCATTTGTTACTGCAATTGCGGTTTTATGCTGAAGTGTTGACAGTGCATTGGGAAAATGCTGAAATAACCTGTAATGTAATAGAATTTAATTTTCCAAAACTCAGATCACAATAACATTTCATTTTCAGAAATTACAGATTATGCCTTTATAAAAGCGTGGACAGAAAAATGCTCCACTTTCCATGTCACCACACGAAGCAGATGAATGATGACCACCTTGCTGCCACTTGCTTGCATTAGCGGCCACTGGCTGATACACATGATCAGTATTATTTGCTTGACATTGACCCTCCACCGAATCACTCCCTCTTTTTTCACTTCATTCAACAACCACATCACAATTACTGGGCTTTCTAAAGAAACTTCGGACACTCTGCTGCCACTACTTTTTGCGATATAGCCGTGCAAATGCAATGGCTACAGCCAGCTAGGCAACAAGTCATGCATGTGAGATCAAAGACAACAGCTTATTAATATGCACACTTGCCGCCACCTGCACAGGGGGTCTACTACAGGTGGTCTATATATGATTACAGAAAGTGTTGCATGTGAATTACTTAACATTAAGGTAGATAGCCCTTTGTCTTATTCTGTCAAAATGCCAGCCGGCCTTCAGGTTTTTCCATCATAGTATTAAAAAATCAGTCCGTGACGGAGAGTATTTGGTTAACGCAACCCCTGCTCTAGCGCTAAAAATATCCTGTCCTGTATACCATTAAGGCTTCTGCCATTGTCCCTGTCCAGATTGAAACATCCTGAAAAGCAGACATGTCCAGCATACAGAAAAAGAAGAATGACCTTTCCTTTGACAGAATGGGGGCTTTATCAGTCATTCACATTATTCATTCAGACTGACTCAAGCACTCTGAGCTGATTACTAATGATGTAACAACTGCCAGATAACATTGTGACTTAATGTAATAACATTACATTCCCAGTTAGTTGTGATTTTTCTATAAAATGCAACCACATTAAATGACATTTCTGACATTATGATGAATGTGCTTTTTCTATTATTTTTAAATGTTGTTGTCTGGCATCAACAGGTGTTGCATCATCAGCAGCAGTTGGCTTACAGTTATAACGTTGACAGTTATAGCAGGGATCTCTAGTCTGGTCTCTAGAGGCAGAGGGCTCTGCAAAAGTACCGTCCACTTGAGGCTGCTAATCAGTCCCAAGAGGACGCAACTGTTGGAACAGCTTCGAGACTGAATGGACACAGGAGACATAATAGGGAAACTGTTGACTAAGGCTTAGTGCAGAGTGACTTACAGTGTAGTGTCAGTGAAGTACATGTTTGATTATCAGCCCAGGCTTGACTTACGCTGATCCGAGACACTGGGTTAAGAACACATCACACTGTGAAAAATGTATGATTCTCTCAGGCTTGACCATGTCAGGTTCAGATTTAGTGGTTAGCTGTGGACAATCAATGATAGGAGAGCTTGAAGAGAAGATGGCAGGTGATTACTGCAGTGTGTCCTCTAGCCTCAAAAAGAAAAACACATACTGCAATGCAGCAACACATCACTAACCACTTTACTCTTCCATCCTTCTAATGTCCAATAAAAGACATTCACACAGTTATCCATCAATACACTGTAGAAATTATAATGGGATGAGCAAAATCTCATTTTAGGAGGATGAGCATCCACTGAAAAATGCTACAATGATGTACAAATGATGATATATGTCTTACACAAATCACTCTACACTCATTTGTTCATTGTGTTTAACAAGTTACGTATTTTGACTGTTGTAATCCCATGATAAATTGTGGGGTTTCCTGAAGGGAGTGTCCACTCTTTTTTATTGTACATTAGTGACTTGAAGGATGCCTGTTCATCTGATTTTTCTGTATGTGTAGATGAGTCTGCTATTCTCGTGTCTCATGAAGATTTAGCAGCTGTGGAAAAGTCTTTGAGTGAGGAGCTTCAAAATTTTGTGATGTGGCTGTCTGATAACATAGTCCATCCTTTTTGGATCCAGAATTAAACTAGGAAAGACGCCAGAGATTAAGGTAAAGGTAGAAGAGACATACACATACATGGATGACCTCATGGCTGAGAACAGGGAAACGGCGTGGTTTATACATTTAATGGCGCCAGCAAATACACAACACGTTGGCAACCCTTCCCGGTCAGCTCACTTTCATTGGCTGTCGCGGGGTTCTGATCAGTGTGCAGAGATTATGTCTGTAAACCCCTCACACTACAGGATCATTTGGTCCGATAATCACTTCCGAACAGCCTCGGTTCAGGAACGCCCCCAGAGGTTGATGGGAAGGGCGAATTGGACTCCCAAGTAGATTAATTATCTAGTGTGGGGCTCACATAAATTGTTGGCATTGAACAACACTAAAGATGTTAGCCAGATCATTGGTTCAATGCCAATTTGACTAGGCCGCAACCTCCTGGTTTAGTAGTACTCAAATATAAGCTTCAGACTGCCCAAAACGAGTTGATCTCATCTTTATTCAACATGTTTTCTACAATTTAATTGGCTTCCAGTAGAAAAAAAGAGTCATGCAAATCAAGTTGGGACTTACCTATAAAACTGTTAACAATGGGGTCCCCAAATATCTGTCCAGCTACTTTTATTTCTTTAGAGACAATCAAACTATGGAACAAGAGGCAGCTCAACAGATTTCATTCTTTACAATTTCTAGTACAATGGGCACAAATACCTTTTTATACATGGCTGCAATTGAATGGAATAAGCTTCCAGTATCTCGGAATCTCATTGAAGCAGAGAAAAACTTTAAGCAGGCTATGAAGAAATGGCTAGGAAATCTCAGAATAGGGATCTCAGAGCCTCAGAGTTCTTTTATGTTTCTTCTTTTTTGTGATTAAATGGATGGATCCCCCTTAGATGATCACAATATAAACAAGCATGTGTGCTTTATTGTGTAATTTAATCCTCAAGAGTTTGTAAGTTTATGTGAAGCAGTAGTATGTGTATTTTATGATTGTCAAATAAATCTTTGAGGGTACACTAACTCTGGCCTTCTGCATAGAAGTTGGACTAGCTACACACCCATCCACCACTGGCCCCCACACCCTTAGTGAAGTGTAGTCTTCATAGGCAGCCATTCAAATCACGCAAATCTCCCACGTTCCATATGGTGTGAACTAATTAACCATATCAGACATGATCCCGATTGACAGTGACAGCCAAATGGAGGTCAGATTTCTTTTTTGTTTTTCCTCAAAATACAAAATGATTCCAGGGTCTGGATCCTCTTCATGACATGTAGAAGTAGATCAGGAGGTTCATACATAAGGGAACCTTTTCCACTACAGTACACAACCAGAATGTGCAGTAATGCGATTAAAGGACTACTAAATGTACACATTGATTTGATTCCATATTCACACATTAAAAGAAAATAATGTATCGCCTATGTAAAATCACGTGTTGATTGTTTAGGTAACGTTATGAACAGGTTTTATAACAGTAGGTTATAAAACTAAACAGCTGAACAAGTAGGCCATTAGCAGGATCTTTGATGGTGGATGTGTTCTGCTTAGAGAGAGTAGTGAATGCATCCCGCAGTTTCCATAGTAATTTAATGCTGCCATCCATAGCTGTGAGTGTGACTTCATACGCAGTGACACTGTAGTGGGTTAGTGAGCAAGAATCACTTTGAGTCAGTCATGTTGTCACAATAGCAGGAGCTGGCTGAATTGCTTCAGCTCAAACAAGTAAAGGATACTCATGAATTATGGCACACTAAATATTCCCTTTAAAATGGCTTTGACCTCGTATCATAAACATTATATGATGTCATGAATATAAATGGCAAAATCTGCCGAGGGGCTTAAAATGCCCTGTTGTTTCTGCACATTGTGGGTCATTGGCAGTAATGTGTCTTTCTGTGCCTCATAAAAACATTTTGTGCATGGCTCGGCCTTGACTTTCTCCATAGGAGGCTTGAATGTCAGACCTCTGCAGTCAAGTATGTTGAGTCCAGTAATGGCTTTCTCCTTAGTGCAGAAACCGTAAATGCTTCTCCATATCCAAAGAGGTTATCTTCTATTATAGAGCTCTTTTTGGCATATACTTCTTCAGAATAAGCCCCTACTGTAGAGACAAATTGCTTGAACACCTGTTGACATTAGCACAGAGGAGACCTGGATGGCTTATTCAGCATAGCATCAGCAGTGAGGCCTGGAACAGCCGGCCTCTCTGTGGGAGGAGATCTCACCATCGCCGCCGCGACCCTGGCAGTCCGTGTTTTTTGACCCACATCAGATGCTCCCTCCAGCTGTCGGCAGCTCTGCCCACATTACAGTTTAGCCTATGCACTAAAAGAGGGCCTAGAGTGTAGCACAGTGCTGCAAATCAGTTGCCCTCTGCAGCTATGACAACAAACACTGAACTGAAATGAACCCGTTTCGGTGAAGAGACACTTCAAAGCTACTGTTGAGCTTGTTGCGTAGTTGTTCGCACATCAGCGTTGGTTCAGGGCAGGTTAGAGCTGGACAGATTTACCCCCGCCTGTCTATCTGTATGTGGTATGAGGTTTTTGAACGGTTGAAAAAAAAGGTTAGCAAGAACATCAGCCAGAGAACTGACGTTTCTTTTCTACAGCACACACTTCCAGTGCCACAGGGGTATTTGAAGACAGAACCTACCATCAAATGTAGCCCCAACAAGCCCGCCTAGACACACAAACACATCATCATTGTCAGTGATTTCATACCAAATAGTTTTGACTATAAACACATCAAGAATGACAAGAAAAAGTCAATATTTTTTTGCTAAAGTAGCAGACTGCGCCGCGAAAGAGCCTTTTGCAGATCAATGATTATGTAAATCAGCTGACAGATATTTTGACAGAATCAGTTCTGCATGCGTGTCTCAAGGGCATTGCTCTTACTCTAACTAATTCATCATGTGTTGAGTTCAACCCGAGGTTTAAGTCAGAAAACAGCCATTTTGTTCTATTTCTATCTCCCTCATACCAAACACAGGCACCTTTTGTTATCAGCAATGTGAATTTTATAATTTTTTTTCTCCCAGTTTCTGCAGAAGCGCTCTGTATCTCCGGCCTGTACGCTCCTATTGTGATAAAGATTGCTTTTATGAAGCTTCAGCTGCACCATGGCGTAATATTGTGCATATTTAGTGCTCATTGTCTCATGTCGTCTTTTTTATCACAATGGGCGGTCGTCCTCAGCATCATTTATAATTCACAACTTCATTTGTTGTTGCCTTTCGCCTCTCATTTTCTCATTAAAACTTTTAAAAATGCGAGATTTGTTCCGCGTTAAACCAAAGAGGACGGACTGAGAGACAATTAGGGATGTAAATGTGCTGCGTTTTGTCTTGGTGACACACATTCAAATCAGACAGACATAAGTTCCAGACATTGGATGCCAACACACACACACACAAACTGCAAAAACTCAATGTCACAATTATCCGTGATGTTTTCTGGGTAATAGTTAGTGCATGGCCGTGTTTTCTCCCGTGGGAGAAGGCTTTTTATTTGGAGAGAAGATAGCAAAACAAAAAAGGAAAAAGCTTTTCGAAAGGATGACTCAAGAAGACGAGGAGAAGCTGTTATCCTCTCTCCGCCTCTATTTCACTTTCTTTATCTTCCCTTTATACTTCCTATTTTATCTTCCTTCACTTTTATCCCTTCACCTTCACTGTTTTATGTTTCTCACTCTTTCTGAATCTCTACTCTTTCTCTTCACTATCTGCTGTTTTTTCTCGTCTCTTTATCTCGCTCCGCACACCCACACGCTCAGACATAGATTGTTATGCTCGAAGAATAGCTCCACATACTCTAAACCCGTGTTGTAAATCCTTTAGAGAGAATGTTGAGGTATTTCTGAGGGAAGCATGTATTATCTGAGAATTTGGCTCTAGTTTGTGCTCCTGCCTGGGCGCCAGGCCAGTGTGACAGTTTTACTGTTGTTCTGCAATAGCTCTTTGCTTTGGAAGGATACAGAGAAGGAGGCTGGCCGGCGGGAGGGATTATAGCGCAAACACAGAAACAAAGTGCAGGACTGGAATAGAGAGAACAGGCATTTCTATTTAAATCGGCGTTCTCCAGCTCTTGTTTGGTCGGTAAGCTGAACTAAGGTGCCTGTTGCAATTTTAGCAGTGCTATCATGGAAATTATTATCTGTTTACTTCATGAAAGTCGGATATTTGTGTAACCATGGCAAAAGCTACTAAGTTGACTGAACAGTGCCCACTGGAAAAGTTTATATTATCCGAAAAATGAAACAACTGCTGAAAATTTGCAGTTGAAACATTTGACAGGCGTTAAAATGGCAGTCAAAACACATTTAGTGAAAGAAGTTAAAAAGCCAACTATTTAAATGGAAAACTGAAAGAAGATTAAGTTTCAAGTGTGTGTGAATAAAGTGTTAATTCAAGTGTAAGCGTTGAGTGAAGTATCAGTTGAAGTAAAAGTTGACATTCTAACACTGAAATCATTTAAGTGTGATAAATCGAGCTGAACGTGTTAGTGGAAGTGTAATTACTAAAAGGTGAAAGCAGTTGAACTGTCAGCTAAAGAGTAAGAGATGAATGCATGTATACTGAACTCCTAAGGTGCCTTTTGCAGAATTTTGAGCGCTGCTATCATGGAAATTAGCAGAAGTTTACTTCATAAAAGCTAGAAATGTGTTTTACAATGGCAGAAGCATCAGTTGAGTCTCTAACTTCAGGAAGCTCTTTAAAACTCATCCTTTCCAAGAACACGTCCTCTTATAACCCCTCTAACCTCTAACATGCACTTCCTGTGCTCTTCTTCTATCCCCTTCCAATTCTCTTGTATTGATTGCACTATTCGTTAACTCTTACTTCTTTCCCTAGGTGTTTGCCGCATTGATGCCGTACGCACTATTATTACTTACTAGTATACATCGTTGGCCTTACTGGTATCAATTGTCACTTGTAGATCTGTTCCTATATTTATGTTTTATTGATGCTTGTATGTTGTTCCTCAAATGTAAGTCGCTTTGGTCTGCCAAATTAGTAAATTTAATGTTGAAAATGTTACAATTTCTGGAGAACATCTACTCCCTGCTGAAAATTTGTGGTTGAAACATTTGAAATAGTTGATGTACTCAAAGAAGCTGAAATGGTAGCTAATGTAGGTTTGATTTAGTGTACCGTTATGCATTGTAGACTCCACTTACACATGCATGTGAAGGATTGTTTGTGTTTTGTAGTTTATATTTTCTTTGATTTTATTTGTTTTCTCTTAGTGGTTAATAGAATGTAGATGGTTAGAGCCAGAGAAAGAACAGCTGATTAGCAGCTGTTAGCAAGGCCAAGGCAACCAGGCAGTTGTAAATACATGACATGTAAAAAAAAAAAAAAAAAAAAGAAGAGGATGAACAAGAGAGATGTGTCACTGAAGGTATATGAGAAAAAGATAATTGTTTAATACTGGAAATGCACATTTTATGTTTATCATGATTCAAGAATCCGTGTATGGTTTGTGGTCGTTTTTTGTTTTTTTCTGTTTGAAACCCACACAGAAAAACAAAGCAGCTGCTTTTTATTCTATGAGCGTTGTTGGATCCCTGCTGGTTTTCAAACCAACTGGCTACTGTACATGTGCGCCTGTTGTTTGCAACAGCTGTGGTCTGTGTCGGGCTTCATCCTACCAGAGCGAACGATCACTGACCCTCCGCAGCGCGCCAGGTTACTCCCGCGACCTCCTCTCCCTCTCCGTAGACATACTATGGGTTGTGTTGCCAGTGCAACCGGCGCATTGGATGGTTAGTGGTCGTTCCCTCTGGCTGGATGAAGTCCGATGCTCCTGTTTTACGCCTAATCCATGTGCTACTGCAGCCTAATGAGCCTCCTGTTTTTCTAACTAACAACCCACTTATGTTGATGTTAAAGCTCAGTTTAATTAGAGGAGACCGGGTATGGTTGTAACACTTTTTGTTTCAGCAACTACAACTCACTCAATTTCTTAGGTAGAGTTCTCAAAATTTTATACAAAGTTCCCACATTTGTTAACTACAAATGGCACCAATTCAGTCCTCTACAAGAATATCTCAGACCTCGTGAGTTGATGTCAAATGCATTGTGTTCCCTTGTGTTCCCTTGTTATAACCTACCCCAGTTTTGGGGTAGGTTATAACAAGGTTTCTCACAAGCTGCCCTACACTTCTTTGCCCTCTCCACTTGCGGAGACTGAGTAGGGAAAAGATCAAGTGCCGATACATACACCAACATGTGAACTACATGTGAATGGGGAGTACTGGTCATAGAGCTGACAAATGAATCCTGGTAACCCTGGAGTGCAGGCTGGGTGGGCACTCTGTAAAATTAAGAAAGGTTTATGTATAGTGGATGGTTATAACACTTTTTAAAGAAGTGTTACAACCCACCCCACCACTGTCAGTCAATGTTTAGCTAGCTGTATTAGCATAGTGGTTTGAAATTAGAAAGGAAAAAATGCATCACATGTTGCCTAAGAAACTAAATTTCAATCTACTATAAGTCATACAATTATATCTGCAATAGTATAGATACTAAACAAAATATAGTCTTGGTCAAAAAATTTACTTTCTTACCTCAAAATCAGTTGTTTCTCTATATATTCTGAATGTACCTATTTCCAGACTTGATAACCACCATGCCTCAGGGAGGAAGTAGGTAAATACTGAAATGACCACCTAACTTCTATCTTATCTATAATTGGTGGAATTGGTGTTGTTACAACTCTCTCCATGTTACAACCATCACCAAAAGTTATTAGATCAGTTGAGCTGGAAATCTCAGTTGAAGTGTAATCATTGAAAGCAGATGAACTGTGAGTTAAAGAATAACACATAAAAACTGTCAGCTGAAGGGATGAAAGCATTTGAAATTGCAGTTGAAATAATTTTAAGATATTAATGCCGGCTGGTGATGTGGCCACACATGGAGCTCATTATAACATACCCAAACATATTCCTGTAATATCGCACAACTAAACTAAATGATCAAAGCATGGCAGAGGGCTGTTGCATTCATGGTAAACCAAATCTGAACATTTATTTCATATTTCATGGCCCTGTCATGATGCTAGCTAGGCCTGTGTAGATATATTTGACAGCTCCCACTGTAACCAAAAGTGGTAAAAATAGCAAGCACCTGGGTGGGCATTCTCAGTGCGCTTCTGTGATCCTTTCTATTCATACTAATTCTATCAAACAGGCTCACTCACGGCAATGATTTAATTCCCTCTTTAGAGGAAAAGGTTTAACTGCCATGTACCTGGCAGGTACTGAAAATATCCATACATTTATTTTGGAAGTCCCTGCACTCACTAATGTGTGTGCATTTTTGTGTTTGTGTGTAACAAAGGTGTGGCAGTGTGGCGGCAGTGTAGAGGTCCTGCCCTGCTCCAGGATTGCACACATCGAGCGTGCCCACAAACCCTACACAGAGAACCTGACAGCCCACGTGCGACGTAACGCACTGAGGGTGGCTGAGGTCTGGATGGACCAGTACAAGAGTCACGTCTACATGGCATGGAATGTTCCACTACAGGTAAACAGGGACTTTGATACTGGTCTTTTTCACTGTGTGGGACGGTGTGTGTGTGGGCCTAATTGTGGACATGGCTTATTTGTGTTTAGAGGCTGTGTCAAAAATCTCCTGTCAACCTTGACAAGCACCATCATGGACGTCCACTCGAGAATCAATTTTGTATAAGGTTGAATACAACTGTGGAAGATGGTTCTATTGTGGGTCCAGGTCATTTTATTAATGTTATAAGTCCATCTATCCATCCATTGTCTTTCGCTTATTTGGGGTCAGGTCGTAGTGGCAGCAGGCTTAGCAGGGTATTCCAGACATTCCTCTCCCCAGCAACACTTTCCAGCTCCTGCCAGATGAGATATGTCATCCCTCCAGCGAGTTTTGGGTCTACCCCGGGGTCTCCTCCCAGTTGGGTGTGCCTGGAAAACCTCCAAAGGAAGGCGCCCAGAAGGCATCTTTATCAGATGCCCGAACCACCTCAGCTGGCTTCTTTCAACTCACTCCCAACCCAGAGGGAGCAATCCACCATTTTCCAACAGAAAACCATGGCCTCAGACTTGGAGGTGCTGAACTCATCCTCATCCCAACCTCTTCACACTCGGCTGCAAATTGCCCCAGTGTGTGCTGAAGGTCACGTTCTGATGAAGCCAATAGGTACCACATCAACTTCAAAAAGCAGGGACACAATTCTGAGGTTCTCAAACCGGACACTTTCCTTGCCTCAGCTGTGCCTTGAGATCCTCTCCACAAATATCACAAACAGGATTGGAGACATGGGTCGATCCAACCTTGGTGGAGTCCATCACCCACTGGAAACATGTTTGACTTTGTGGTAAGAATACAGACCCAGCTCACTTTGGTTATACAAGGAACAGATGGCTCATAGCAATGGCCCCTGTGGCCCATACTCTCGCAGTACCAGCCACATGATTCCCTTGGGACACGGTCGTAAGGCTTCTCCAAGTCACATGTGAATTGGATGGTCAAACTCTCTTGAACCCCCCTTCTTTCCCTTCCTGAGTCGTTGAATTGTTAGCCAGAATCTCCTTGAGGCACCACCAGTGTCCACCAGCAGGTTCTTAGGTTGCCACCACATCCGACATCAATGACCTTCTGCCCACAGCTCCTGCCAGCCAACTCTGAATCTGTGAAACATGTTCCACACACCATTTTTGGTGGGTGTAGCAACCAAATATAAAATAAAATGAATGATGTCCCTGTTTGGCTACCCCACAACCAAGAGTAAAAAATAAATAAAAGTACAAACTGGGCAGTAGGCCACAGTACATTAGGTAAGCAGTGCTCTTGGCTCCAAAAACACACCTACCTGGTTAATAATTTTTTTATCTTGCATTTTTATGTTGTGGTTGGGTTCGGGGGTCCTGATCATAACAGTGATAAATCTTTTATTAAGCTAATGCTTCTTCCTTTGTTCTACTCTTTTTTTTTACACAACATTTTCACTGTCATGACATGTGTAACTTTTAGATTATGGCTTATTGTTTAGTAAGTTTTAGAACACTAATGAGGTCATTTATAGCATTACCCGAAAAATACTGCAGTTGTGTTCCACTGCTCAATTTTTTTGACTGCAAAAGTGATTTCATTACAACAAGAACCTGGCATGAAAAAGTGCGTTAGGCACAGCTTTTTCCCTGACTGCAAGAACTTGACATGAAAAAGAGTGATTTACTATATTTGTGTTGCTTATCTTGTGTTGGATTCTAGTATAATTTTCATCTATGTGTATCTGACATTTTTTCCTTTGTATTTATTGTTATATTCAAAGTGCATTCAAATGCATAGATGTATATTATAGTCTTCAAAATTGAAGGACATCTGCTCTCTGTGTGATTGCTCTTTATACAGTATGTTTGTTCTTGTCTTCCTTTTCAGTTATTATTTCAAGTTCTTACATTGTCATTCTAAGGTAGCGCCGAAATGATCCTGAGGCCCTGAATTCTGCACTTGTTAGTTTTGAATTCTTGCAACATTGGAGATTAGGAAGTTGAAGTGTGTTGTGCTTAGTTAGTGCACGAGTGAAATACCCAAAAGGTGAACTCCGATGTGTTTGAATTTCATTCTTTCTCTAGAACTCAGGAATAGACATCGGAGACATTTCGGAGAGAAAAGCTCTGCGATCCAGACTCCAGTGCCGGCCGTTCAGTTGGTTCCTCTCCAACATTTACCCCGAGCTCAGATCCTACAGCGACACAGTTGCTTATGGAGTGGTGAGTTCAACTTTTTCCATTCCGCTCTCAGGAATCCTAAACATTTGCAGTCTACAACCTTGATGTAAATTGCAATTTCATTACAATGTGAGATGGGGTTGTTAATTACAATACACTGCTATTCATCTGATAGGAGCCCACAGGAACAAGTCAGCGCAGTCTGGATGCCAGCCCACAGTTTGAGAAACACTGCACCACATACATAAAACGAGATGCTGTCTCTCAAGGGGCTATCCGTAACTAAATTGAAATTGAAATGGACTCCCCACTCAGTCCCCACTGGTTGCCACACATACAAAAACTCCTCAAAGCAGAACATAAAGTATTCAGGAGTATTTGAATTCATTATGAAATAGGAACAAGACACTCCTTTAGCTTTATCAAAAATTAATATGCCTTTGTTGTGGCAGCTTACCAACAAGGAGTTTTACAAACGTGTGAACATATTTTTTTTTGTGTGTGTTTTCTCTTGTCACATTGCAGCCAAAAGGCAACATATCTTAATGGTGTGCTCCCACAATTAAGGCATATGTGTTTAGATATAGGAACAAAACTGTCATTTGTGAATGGTGTGTGTGTGTGTGTGTGTGTGTGTGTGTGTGTGTGTATATGAGTGAAAGAGAGAGAGTTTTTTTTTTCACACAATGTTCCCTTTACAATCAGTCATTATGGGGATTTCTTTTTCTTAAGGGTTTATTTAACCCTGCATAATATTTTATTGTCAAACAGTTGCCTATTTAAACAGCCAGTACACAACATTACCATTCATTTGGAGTGGTGTTTGTGACCAACATTCACTCAGTTTTAGCTCTTTTTTTGGTCTCCACCAACTGCTGGGGGAAATATCTGGCTCTGCTAAATTCCCCATTAAATTCCCCATTATGTTGCCACCAAGTCACTAACTGTGTATGTCTCCTGTTTGTTGCTGGACAGTGGATTTACCAGAGCTTTTTTTTTTTCACTGAAAACAGTTGCCTGCTACAGCTTGGAATGACACTGATGAGAGCAGTGAGAGTGAGCTAAAACAGTAACGTTTCTGGCCATAAAAACAAAACAGAAACACTCCACAGAGCTGAAGGGGACTGCAGTCAGGTTAGGGTTAATTTTTCTGTGGCTTCATCATCACAAGCTTTCACGTTAAACTTAACTAAAACTAAACATTTACATTAAAACATAACTTTTATAACAATTTTCAAGCTTTAAAGCCATAATTCTTCATTAACACTGATATTATTTTTTTCAGGTTAACACTACAGTTTTACCCTTTACCTGTCTTGTAAAATTTTTATCACTCAGGCTTTAATTTAGAAGTCAGGCATGATCAGGGATTTATTTTGGTAGGGTCGTCCATGGTTATTAAAGCACTGAAATTCCACAAAAACCACCCCATGAATAACCATTTCCATTAAATTTAAACTTTTCTAAGTATTTTTGGGCTGTAGGACTTGAACTTTTACATTAACACTGAATCTAAATGCTATTTCTTTCAGGTTGGCTATATTCCTTGTCTTTTTCTGTTTCAAATATTTTTCTTCACTGACAGGCACAGACTACACCCTAGTTTAATTTGGGATTGAGCAAGTGTTATTTAAATTGTCATATTGTATGGCATGTAAAAATCACTGAAATAGTCTTGAAACAACGTCAACACCTCCTCATGACTAAACATTTCCATTAAACTAAACTTTTCCAAGTATTTGAAGCTGGAAAGCCAACTTTTCCATTAATGCTGAATCTAATTGTACGCACAACATGGGATATATGCTTCTGTGCTGTAAGAGCTCACTTCACATCACGGCAGAAGGGTATTGAAAGGGTGAACCTTTTTACGCCACTTAATTTCTGCATGGCTATTCCTCTCTTCAGTTAACGGCTGTGGGAGGATTTTGCATAATTGAAAAATGACAGTAATCTGTTGAAAGCTGAGCAGAATTATCACCACCACTCTGACTGCTCCTGCTGATAGAGGAAGAAAAATGAGTACTTCTTGGCCAAGTCCAATTACTATTAATTTATCAATTTCCTTTTTTCTTGTGATTTTTGATTGTGGCCTCATTTTAACCTTTTATAGAAATAACTTCAGTGCAGATACTGTTTGAGTCATCTGTCTTCTGCAAGCTTGCAGTCTGAAAATTACCACCACACTGAATCTATTTCTTTCAGGTTAAAAACTGTTTTATTCTTTCAGCTTCATTGACTCCGCATGACTTCAACTTTCACTGATGAGAAAAACAGTTATGAATTGAGTTATGAGAAAGGCTGATATGGTTCTACTCAGACATTAGCAGCGGCAACTGAGTCTCTTGCTCTGAAAACAGCCCCTGTGCCACCTCTTGTGTTTGTTGTTGGATAAACACTTCAGTCACAGTGCGAGCTGGATGGAGTTATTTGTTGACAGGTTGACACTATTGAGCATGTGCGGGGGCTCGGCTTTGAGAGCGTGAGATGAAAGTGTTGCCACAGTGACATCTGAGAGATGCAGATCTGAAGTTTACATATTTGACAAAACCAAACTCTCGCAGGAGATATAGCAGTTGGAGAGAGTACAACATCTGTGGATGCTGTTATTCATTCAGCTTTTATTTAACATGAAACAAAAGCTAGAGGAATGCACGGCTCACACAGGGTAAACACTGAACAAAGACACACATTCATACAAAGTCATGAACTTTCACCAGTTTGACATCGAGTTTTCAGCTAAACAGATTTTTTTGAAATTCGGATGTCATAACAAGTCCTCCCAAAGCTCCTTACCATCAGACACAGACACCAAAAATAATGTAATTTATCATTTAATAGTTCAATTATTATTTTTTCTGTAAGTTTTTTTCTATCACAAAGGTCCCCAAAAGGTTGCTAGTAGGTCATTAGTGTCTCCTAGAAATTAGATTTTTGTATTACTAACTTGCATCACCAAAAACATTTTCAGAGACAAAAATCAGGTTTTTGTCTACGATTGGAGCTCAGTCCACTTCTTGGGTCCAGACTGAAACATCTCAACAACTACTGGATGGATTACAATGCAATTTGGTTCATACATGTATGTTCCCCTCAGGATGAATTGTTTTGGAGACCCTGAGTTTGTTGTTTTCCACCAACATTTTTATTTTTCCAATACTTTGGTTTATCAAATATCTGCAAAATAGCCTCAGCTGAACTTTGTGTTTAGTACTAATTAGCAATTGGTAGCATGCCAAACTAAGATGGTGAACATTTTAATTAATATAGACTACCTGTTAAAATATTTGATTTATTTTCATTCAATACGTTCTCTCTTAATACAGTATCTGAATTGCTTTTACGGTTATGTTAAGGCCCTCAAATCCCTTTGGTTAAGCATTATGGAAATATTGTTGCTTTGGTTAAATATTAAAAAGTCAAAATTTATTCGAAGCACAAGACACAACATATTTACTTTATTAAATAAAGTTATATAACAAAGTTCATTAGTTCTATCTCATTAATTCAACCACCTGCGCCTCATTCAGTTCCTCCAGTCCAACCACCTGTGCTTCTCTAATCCAATCACCTGCACATACGTATATAAGCCTGTCTAACTACTCTCTCTCCTGTTTCTCAGTTCTCCCGTCCTTTTTCTCACCTCTTTTAACAGGCAACACGGTGGCCCAGTGGACAGCACTGTGGGCTCACAGCATGAAGGTCCAGGCATAGCTCAGCCCGGGCCTTTCTGTGTGGACTTTGCATGTTCTCCCCGTGTTTGCGTGTGTTTCCTCCCACCATCAAAGACATGTATGACTAAATCCATAATTCCGCCAAAGTCTTTTTCTACAACTAAGCAAGCTGCTTATTGAGACGAGCCCCCACCCTGTGTCCCGCTCCGGCCACCAAACCCTAAATATCCCCCTGCATCCCTCCATTCTCGACCTTTTCATCCCTCTTCTCTCAACCCCTTCATCCCTCTCCCCTCGATCCCGCCATTATAAATATTCATCATTCTCCGAATAAACTATCGTTTTATACCTCACATTGGCGTGGTCTTTGTTAGGGAACATGTAACTAAAACCATTATTCAGGAAACAAACCCCTGACCACCTCACTACGACTATCTCTCAAAGCGTACTGCGAAAGCGAAAGAGCAATAAAATATCGGATTATTGAACCACTGTAATACGTGTGACAGCAACGTGAGATACTTTAAAATAGAAAGCTCAACTCGGCCCTCAATAGAGGATCAGGAACTGTGCAGAAACCCCCACAGGACTTCATGTGATGTGACTGCAAAGGAGCACGGAGAGATGGTGGGATGCAGCAAGTGAACGGAGGTAGAGTTGTAGTCAGTGATCTATCTAAACAGTGTGTGGGTTGACTGGGCACTTGGATGAGGCCAACTATTCAGCAGATGGAGAGAAAAAGCTTTGTGAGCTGTATATATAAGATATTAGTAGAAAATGAAGGACTCCGTTCACTCATCATAAACTCCAAATATTGCACTATTGGGGAGATGCAGCCAATAACCCTTGTGATTCACCTTTAAATATGAATGCTTATATTTTGTGAGGAAAAGCAGACCGAGGCTCAGACCAAAGCGCTTGAATATAAAAACAGGCATTTCTATTCAAATCACCACTTTTTAAAGGTCACTCGAATGGCAGAAGATTGCTGCCACAGAATGTTTACAATGCTGTGGAGGTAAAGGTGGAGAACGTGAGACTCAGAAAGCTGAACTTTTACCACAAACAGATTCTGAACATTTCTGAGGCAGCTATAACATTCCAGCTGTCTGAATGTGTGTATTAAAGCAACTGCTGTCACTGAAATGACACCAAACCTCATAAAAATATACTATAGATATTATTATTCATTTTTTCCTTAACATTGAGATAAATTAGAAGTTGCAAGTGGTCACAAGTAGTGACAAATCCACAGAGAATTATCACCCAGTGGAAGATCTACTGACATTTTTAGCCTCATTTATTTCGGGGTGTTAACTTTTCTGCACATTTACTCACCAATTTCTTGGTGGTGGCAGCAGCAAGCAA